ATAAATAGCTAAATAATGATAGAATCAAGATTTAACCAAAATGAAGTAAAATATGACATAAATTGCCACACAATGACCATATATACTGTATTGTTTAACTTAAACACATATTGAAAAACGAAAAGTAGAGTATTATTCAAATAATTAAATACACGTTAAAAAAAGAAAAGTACAATATTATTGAAATAATTGAATTATAATAAGGATAAAATTGTCCAAAAAACAATTCTCAAATGATGTGATATTTAATATATTATAGATTAACATATTCGCTTAGATTTCTTCTAATATCTATGTGTTAAGTTAGCATTTTTGGCATCACCGTATTCCAGACTAGTTTATAACCATCTTTGAAAATCAAAAGTGTAATTTCTCACAGTATCAACCGCTGCGAAACATGTTTTAAATATATATAATTCTAAGATTTTTGATTTTTATGATGAGCTTTTACTTGTGCTTTTAAAATCACAAGGAGACGACGTCATTTCTATCGATTTTCTATCATTGTTTGGTCACGACTCAGACATTTATTCCATGATTGCAATTCTACAAGTCATGGAAAATTTAAAATTTAGCCATTATTGACTTTGAATAAACAAACTGAGATTTTATTTTGCCGGATCTTCATTATTTGAAAAGAAAAAAAAAAAAAACTTTCCTCTTATTTTTTACTACACATTATTCAATAAAATAATATTACAAATAAATTCAAAAATTTCTCTTATTTTTTAACTACAAATTCTCCATCAAAACACTATTGCAAAATGTCTTTTAATTTGACCAAAAAAATAAGATCAAACAGGCTCTTTAATTTTTCATTGATTTGTTACCTTTAATCTGTAAGGCAAAGTCAATGCAGTATAATTTCTTTTTCTTCGTTTGGCATCAGTACTGATATAATTCAATCGTTCAAGATTATCGAATTTCAGTAATTCCCTTGTACAAAGGAATTACTCCCAGAATTTCAACAGATGATGCTATGTTTGGTCTTCTTTTTTTTTTTTTTCAATAAAAAACTGCCAAGTGTATTATGACAAAATTCTAACGGTCATTGTATGTACACATCATACCTTATAGAATTTACCCTGTAATTCAACTGTTCAAGGTTATAGAATTTTGGATAATTCTTGTTGTGGGGGCACTGAGGCCCACCCCATATGAATGTTATGTACTTCTTTATGTACATAAATTATGTACCCCTAACATAGCCCGCAAATACTTCCTATCTTACGACAATACATTTTCTCCCTATCGGGTGATGTACATGTACCATTTGATTACAGCTGGTCCTATAGAAACCTGGTACAGAGGAGGGAAAAAAAATGGACAATAATGCTCTTTGTATAACCATAAGACAACTTTGTTGAACAATTGGTGTGTTGGCAAAAAATCATTGACTGCAAAAACAACCTTTTTAAAAAAAAAAAAATTGAGAAATACGAGTTGACATTGACTAAGACCTTGATTATTTCAGAGTATGAAAGCATTTATGAACAAAGTCACAAATAAATATTAGTCTTCTTAAACAACTTTCCAATATTTAAGCACTGTTTCCTGCCTCATTTATCAACAAAGAGCTATCCCGAGTATCCGGAACTAGTTATCCCCTTGATTGTCCCTCTATTACATTTTGATACTTCCAAGATTTGAGACGTTTTAAAAATATATTAAAAGACAACAAGATCGAGACAACGTATCTAAACATGAACAGAGACTCCTTCCTTTTGCAATGCGAGATGCACGGTGTGGGAATTTGGGGGCTCCAATTCACCAAAAAACCGAACCCAGCTTCAACCAATCGAACACCACAACAAGAAACCGACCTCCTCCAAAACCGACACCAACCCATCCACCGGTTGCTCCCAAGCCAATCAGCCCACATAGGACTCGGTGTGAAGAGTAAGGCANCTCCTCCAACCGACACCACCCAACACCGGTTGCTCCCAAGCATTTAGCCCACAAAGGACAAGGTGTGGAGTGTAAGGCAGCCTCAAGAAACAACCACAAAGGCTAGAGAGGAAGGAGAAGACAAGGCAAGCACATAGCAACACCCAAGGACACAAAGTCACGGCTCTCTCTCTCCCTCTTCACGGCTCCTACATTCTCCCACACAACAACACTAGAAAACCGGGTAGCACATATATACCAAAGACAAGGAATTGGGCTTATAGGTCAAACACAAAGTAGAGGCCCAATAAGTTCAACAAACGAGTGGGCTATAAACTAAAAGC